CGAAAGATAGTCTCAGAGCGGAAACCAGTTCTGATTCAAGATTCAGCAATCGTACATGGCTTTCACACCTAGGGGTTTGATAACATGTTTGATTGTGGTGATCCAGAGCTTCAACTGACCACTGAGACGATAGTGCTAATCTGAACACGGGGTTAGGAAAATAGCTCTTCTACTGATCAGAGAACATGACTAAACCACTGGCGGAAAGCGTGTTGCAGCAATGTAGAAAGCTAACAACACTGGTAGACTTCCTCGTTGAATAGTCGATCGCACCACTTTACCTTCAAAATGTAGTGAAGACATCCAGAATCGAAAATCTCAAATCTTTAGAGGTCTTGAGCTCTTGCTGGCCATGTCTCGCAGCCGTTGTTCAGCAGAGGACGACTGGTACCTTGATAGACAAAGACCTTAGTGCATTGGCTGATTTCGGTGCGTGTTCGTCGATGTTGTAGAAAATCACTTCAAGTGACGCCAGTTTCAAGCCTAGGTTCCGCACCGCGATACGCTCGACATTTTCGATCGAGAATACCCAAAGGAGTCGAACTAAAATGTAGTCAATCTGAGGTGCTGTTTTTTTTTGTTTGAATATCACGTCAACAACATCGATCTCAGATATTCCATCCATTTTAATCCTTTCTTCATTCGTTGACCAAACAGGAGATGGAAAGAATACAGTAACCAAAATCGGTGCACGAAAGTGCATAGTCAAGTACTGTAGGGACTTAAAAATCCACAGACCTCCGACGACGGATATTTATGAGGTGATTTAAAAGCTCGCTTAGTCCATCACTTTAAGGTGTACATTAATGGAGCGAACCCGTTTTGTTCAGTGGGAATGAACGAAGTTCCCGTAAAATAGCCACGCAATTCCGACTCCAATAAAAACCAAATTAGCAAAACAGGAAAATATTGTGATGAAAATATGAAAATGTTGTGATGACGGAGGTACTAAGCTAAGATACTATCAGTTGAACAGTTTTTTTATTCTAAATGAAAACCCGTTTTGTCGAACGGACATGCACTCTGGCTCTAAGGAGATGCAATAACCATTGATGACGGGGGGGGAGATAATACTAGGACGGTTACTAATACCTCGGTTCGATTTTGACAAACCAATGATGCGGAATATATCGATCGGACTAGAATAACCATTAATCAATCTTCATAAAAGAAGGCTCTGTGCACGTTTGGTCACTTTTCAAGTGACAGTAAACAGTGACACAATCACTTTAATTGGAGGCGTAATAAACGAAAATCTTGTTAGACTTTTCGTCAGAGGTAGAAATAGTACAAGCTATTAGTTCACCTCCACGGTTTGTTTATTCTTCATTCTTCCTAAGGGATAGTCGTTTTTATGGGCGAAATGTATTGAGGTACAGTTGATAACCGGTATGTTTTTTTTCTTCCAGCCAGAAAATCAGAGTATGATGAATTGTGAAAATAAATAAAGGTTCAGTTCAGTTCTTACAACCATCAACCATACAATTTCGTGCGCTGGTTTTGATTACTGTTATTTTTTGGTTGGCCTTTGGATAAAATAGCAGAATGATGATTAGAATGTTGAGAGCGGATTTAAGCGGAAGATAGCACATTTTCAAAGACTGAAGTTACAAGAATAGTGATTAGATGCATGAGCGCCACTGTTTGCGACACCCAGCCATATCGCTGTGTCTCCAATCACCGGTGACCATGATCTCTGGGTCCCCAGGAGGCTAATGCTGAGATTCACGCGTCCTGATATCCAAAACCAACTTGTTGGCATTCTCTATCTGTTGGTCAAGCGGGTAGTAGTAGTACGCTTCCGTTCTACCTGTACTTTCCCACTTAGTTACGTGAGTGAGTTCACACTGACAGATGGCCAGCCAAATCGATACAGCTGTACACTGATCCGGAGCTATTTATACAGCACGCCTGTTCTCCGAGGCGCACGATGACATTAACCACATACGCATCATATCAAATGGTCCAGCACCGTCGTGTTTGCAGCTGCTGCCAAAATGCTTACAGCTAGTTAACATAGATAAACAGGTACGAGAGAAGCGCCACTGAGGAGAGAATCCAACAGTCAGTCGGAGAACCACAATAATATTTTAGAAATTAGTTTGGAATTCAGTAGAGCGGCTGGATAGAAACATTGCCAAGTCTTTCGTTGTATTTGGCTGTCAATGGTAATCTGTTTGTTAAGTGTATCTTTCGCTGCCTGAAAACGTGCAGTAGGACCAAAACAAGTGATAAAATTTGGGGAAACCGCGGCTTCAGTGGAAATTTTTCACTCAGTTATTCAAGGTGTAGGCCCAATTCGCCTACACAGCGGTTCATGCCCTTAGTTGTACCTGAGCATGGTGGTCGGCTCATCGATTCATCTCATAGTAACTAGTTTTTTTTCTACCCGACGGACTGAGGTCAGTCCCAGTCGGATTCATTCATTCTCGTCTGAAGTGTACTCGATCAACGACGCGAAGAAGGCATTCAGACACATTCATGAAGTACTTGCCTTTGTTTACAAAGCAATCAGTTCAGTCCCAATGGACAAATGCTGTGATTGATCCGAATTTGACTACTGCTGCTCATGCCCATCACATTTTTTATTATTTTTTTTTAAATTTCACACAAGGTTAACCTGGGTTTGGTGCACACACAGTTTCCGTTTTTCCCTAACACAGCTATTTTTGACGGTATTCCCCCTGAGATGTGCCCAAATAGTATTGATAGTATGTGTACCCGTGACGGACTAAGCACAATGCCACGCTTGCACACTCCGCTTCACAAAACGCTTGCTTTATGCTTCAGTCACCCACTACAGCCTGGTTGACAATTTACTTAGGCAATCAGTCAGACTACCTGTGTCTGAATGATTCGACGTATTCGTGAAGGACTAACCATTCAGTACCATATGGTTTTACAGGTTATTTCGAGGGCCAGTCAATAGGTAGGTCCATGTGCGTTGACCGAAACATCTGTTCACAAAATGGACCGCTGTGATTTTAGTCATCGACCCTGAGGGAACCAATGTGTTGTTCTCTAACCACTAGTCCCGTATAATGCAGGTTAACTGGGTTCTCTCAGTTGTCTGTGTAATATCTTACCGCTGATGGTATTGCCACGGGCGCGAGTGTATTGATCTGAGGAACTGTGTGCTTGGGCACCAGAACCTGGTTCATGCAACTCAACAATCCATGGTAATGATTTCTGTCTGCAGGAGTGGAACTGAGATTTTTTGAGAATAAGACAATTTCTTCATCTCAGAGATACTGATGCACTATTAACAGTTCATGGGGCTGTTCTTATGTTAATCCAGATTAACTCGTGGACATTTTGAGAATCACTGAGATGTGGATGGGTCCCTTGATAATTTTGCTTCAATTACGTTATCTTACCCGTTTCAGGGCATATTTTACAGATGAGAAGTGCCCCTACAGGTGAGACAAAGCACATGTGAAAGACATACATGGGCGTAACAACGAGGGACTTCGTGTAGATTGACTACTGACAAGCACTGAAGTAGCCAGTTATTAAATACGGTTATCAGAAATTCGTTCTAGCTCATAGGCCTCTGATAATGCATCTATGCATATGGCCTAATTCAAGAAAATGTTTATAGTCTGCAGCTTATTCATACCGTATGTCGTGCTTATACTCCAAATAGGCCTTGTGTTGCAGAGAAGCGATTAAGTCGTGTTCAAATAGGTTTAATCGTGGATTTCTTTCAATCCTTCTATTGGCCCAAACAGCGCCATCAATCTTGCCTCGGTTCACATGCAAACATCCGGATCCGATTACATTATCCGATGTACTCTCACTGATTCGGAGGTCGCATTTAAATACCGCCACTACCTTTAAAATTTGCCATCCCGTAGTAGCCTTGTGTTGAACACAGTAGAGACTAAAAAATGAGTTAGGATGTGCACCGGGTGGAACTGTCACTCTAAAACGTAGCGCCAAAGTCATGGATTTCCATTCATCAGAAACTAACCAAATCTAGTAGATAAACAACTTGTCTGTATGCCATCATTATACATTGTAAAAAAACACAAAGTAGCGAACAAGCTCATTTGCGGTGATTCTTCTACAGGTTAATACATCACAATTTATATCAAGTAATTTAGCAGGAGGGAGAAGTCATGACAAGCTGGAAAAGAAATAATCAACGTTCGGGTTCTATGACCGGATCTTGTTCACACTTTGGTTTTTACAAGCAACTTGCTAAGATGTCGTCCAGCCTAAATGAAGTTCGATCTGACAAATGGAGGGGTATTGGTAATCAATTGTACTGAGCGCACTCAAACGAGAATAACCCATCCCAAGTGATAAACTGTTCAACCGGTGAGAACAGTTCGCAAAAAAAGACCACCAACAGTTAAAGAACCCGTTTTAGCTGTCCGAGTTTAGTGTATGTACCGAAAAACAGATAGTTGATTGTGCTGGAAACTGAACAACCGAAAAAAAGGCCTTGTGAAAAGTTACCACCTTGAAGTTATCACCTTGAATGACAAGGCTGAGTTACTGATGAACAAACATTCCTATACTAACCGTAAAAGCTCAACTTTCTCTTGGCCCATAGTTAATATCAATGACTCAAACTAACACTACTTTGACTAACCCTAGCCGAAATATTGCAACAGAGTACATGATGCCACAACGGCAGTCCTAACAACAAGTAGAGTCCAGAAGCTCGCCTTTGTATTCATTTCCAAAATAAGAAGGCGGTATTCTTAGACAGCAAAATACCCGCCTAGATTCTCCCGAATAGCATGGTGTTTTGATACCACAATATCCTCTTAGTTGCCTACCTAATTTATGCAACCACCAACCTCATTAGGAAAAATGATAGGAATATTACTGAAAGACGGTATCTAATTGAAAATTTCTGCCATTGGTATGAGCGAAACCAGTCCGTAAATGCCAAAATAAGAAGGCCAACGAGGTGGAGAACGTCAGGAGCACGAAGGATTGAACGCGTGGAGGGAATGAAGTGTTGATTTGGATAGCCGCGCGAAAACCTAAGGTTTGGTATTCCGTGGATGTTTGAAACCGCTGTGAACTGCGGCAATACCGCCGGAATAGTTTTGCACGTTTACCGAAGAGAATCCAGCGCTCCGAATCATGTCGGCGAATTCATCTTGATTGGGGAAACGGCGAATGCTCTCAACCAGGTATTGATAGGAGTCCCAGTCGCCCGCGATAAGCTGACCCATGACAGGAATTACTTGCATTGAGTAAACATCATAAGCCCTGGAAGTAATGGTTTGAGTCAGAGTGAATGGATTGTAGTTTAGTGGTTCAAACTGAAGCGAAACAGGCCCACAGGTAAAAAAACCTACCAAAAATATTATTGGTGGGTGACGATACTACTGACACATTGATAGTAGCATAATTTTAAAGATAAATATAAAACAAACAGAATGGGATGGAATAGTGCAATAATCAATCGATAAAAATTATCACTAAATATCTAATGACCAAAGTATTTCCCTTGGATTATTGCCATTTATGCCACAAAACTGAGACAATACTGAATTAATAAAATCGTACAGGATAAGACGGAAATCGTTCTCATGTTAAAAAATGAGAGGATTTCTCGCAGTCTCTGACGACGTGATAGCACTTAACAAACATATTCATTACTCCATAATTTTTTTATCAATGGCATTGACACGTCAGAACATCATCTGATATATGGAAACGCATGAGTGAAACTCACATGTTCAGAAGAGGATTAGTGACGTGACTGAATTCCAGACAGAAAAAGCGCCCGTAAGGACGTAAAACTCTGTTGGCCTCAGCTAACACCTGTACCGAAAATTTATCAAATCGAAGACAAAACATGCCTTATCGATGTGTGTACAATTGCGTATGCCAAATGCAATAGTGTACAAATCGAAAGTATTGTCTTCAAACGGTAATTCCTCCGCATTGCCTTCGACCCAGGAAACTAATGCGTAACACGGTGAGGAGTAACTGGCATTATTCACATACTGTTTTTCAAACCAAGTTTTTCTGCTCTTGATTTCCCTACTTGCATCATTGCAGGATTTATATCGCATAATGTGATACGTGGACCAGGGGAAATTGTTTGCGAGGTGGCGTTACGTTCTGGTAGGGAGAATTTGCTAATTCTGAAAGCAATGTCACCTGCGGGTTGAACACGAATTCCCAATGGAAGTGTATGTATGAAACTAACCAGTTCCACCAGCAACGTCCAAACAATTTAAATTGTCTGTGGGCATAATTTGACGGACAAAGCAATCTTTCCACAAACGATGAATGCCAAAACTCATAGCATCATTCATTAGGTCATATTTTTCAGCTACATTTTCAAAAACGTGGTTCACTGCGCATCGAAGGTGTAAGAAATGAACAGAAAATAAGACGAAGTATGAATACCCTTCTTTTGTTTGTCCTCTTCATCCACCGTCTGAAAACCGAAATGCGTAGTCGCTGAACGTCTCAGAAGACGCATACATGAAGATGAAACACGGGATGAACGGGCAATCGATCCAAGGCGGCGAGCAATTATGGCCGACATGTGTCTAAAAAAAACAAGTGCTGTAGAATGATTTCCTTCGTTAAAAAAAATAAGTCTGACAAAGTTAAAAGTTTTATTTTTCGTAGTTATTGCATGAGCTCATGAAAATATGGTTAGAAATAAGTTTTGGGTTTTGGGTGGTCACCATTCACTTGCATCTCGAGAAACGCTTCTATACGACCAAGTGTACCAAATTCTCTCTGCTGGAGAAGCTCTACCTCATTAACTCCACGTGGCACGAGTGCTTTCGACCCGCCAAACTGAGAGGGCTAAAAGTCAACATGCGGAGCACTGAATACAGTGACTCGCTTCAACAGTTATTCTAATCCCTCTCATACTAGACCTAACTTGATGGCACGATTGTTTATTCTAAGATCAGTTCAGTTCAGTTTTGACAACCATTAACCATGCATTTTCATGCGCCGGTTTTGTTTGCTGTCTTTTGGCTGCCCCATTTGGATAAAAAAGCAGAATGAAGATTGGAATGTTGAAAGCAAATCCAAGCGGAAGATTGAAAATTCATATAGAACAGTGATAGGGGAATAATGAGTGAATGCACGAGCGCCACTGTTTGCGACACCCAACCATATCATTCAGTGCCTCTAACCATCGGGTCCGATCTTCTCAAGGTCCTCAGCCAAGGAGCCTAACGGGGCTTATGTGACCTAGTCTCCTGGTTAGGATTTGCATACCCTCATGCCAGGTCTTAGCTTGGCCACCCTTGACTTTCTTCCACCCAATACTTGCCTCGGCGAACATCGCTCGCCGTGGCAACCTATCTGGTGACAGGCGTAACAACTGCCCCAATCAACCTAATCTATGCCGGTCGATCACTTGCTCCAGTGGGCGACCGCGAATGCCTAAAACTCTTCGCTTAACCTCAGCATTGCTAGTCCGGTTACTCCACCAGACTCGTGCAATGCGACGTAGACAGCGGTATTCGAACAACGATAATCTATTTTTATCCTGTTCCCGTAAAGACCAAGTCTCTACACCGTACAGCAGGACTGGCCGAACTGCTGAAGCAAATACTCAACTCTTCACAGACAGCCGGATGTCGCGATGGCGCCACAAATGTCTCATGTTGGCAAATGCCAACCGCGTCTTTTGTAACCGCGCCGACACTTCTTCTGTTATGCGTCCACCGGGTGAGAAGTAGCTGCCTAGATAACAAAACTTGTCTACTTCCTCTACTACTTCCCCAGTTAGGGTGAGACAGGGTGCTAGACCAACCCAATCTTGTAGTAGCATTTTACACTTTGAAGGTGCAAAACGCATACCGAACATCGTTACACTAGC